CAAGTTATCTCATTCTCTAGGTAGCGCTCGCTAGACAATTTATTATGGAATTGAATATGTTTACGACATCTAGTAATGTCACATTAGAATATAAGAACCTGTTTAAAGATGGATACTTGCTTGAAAAGTTAGAAATCTTTAAGTTTAGGGTAGACGAGAAGTTTAGGGTAGATAAGAAGCTGAACTGAAGCAAAAGTGTAACTTTTCAGATAACGATGTGGAATCAATATGGTGGCTGAGCGTGACTGTTATCCTCACGGAACCTTTCTGCTAGCTCCTCCTGTGGTGGGTGTGGCGCCCGCCCACTATTAGAAAGCTTCCAGAAAAATGGTTTAAAAGCCAGGAATCCAAGCGAGACTGAGAGGAAGCCCCTTAGTGGCCAGAAGACGCTCGGATTCTTGCCAAGGCTATATGGGCTCATCAATTGGTTGAACTTACGGCTTTCCCGTGACCCCCTGGGCAGTATGGTTCCGATGGGATTTGTTCCTTCTCACTTCCACATAGCTTTGGTAATGTATTAATTCTATGATGCGACACTGTCAAATGATGTCTACTTCATGCTGTAATGCTCACATTATTATTGGTGTGTGTTATTATGCAGATTGTGATGACTAGAAGATATATCCTCCTGTGTGTCGTGTGATAATAAAAGTGGAGGTTTTTTGACAGTACAAGACTATTGCAGTTGGATTCTTTTTATTTCTTGGAGTGCCGAGTGAATGCCATGATGTGCCAGGGCAGGTATTCATTGGGTAGAGGGTCTTTAACGTGTAGAATATGTAATGGTGTAAATGCTGATTAAAAGTACCTGTATGACTACATGTTGAGTGTGTGTATATATGATTTGCTTTTAGTTATTGCACCCAGCATTTGCCATTACAGTACCTTATTTTCTTTTTGAGCTTTTATCAGCTTACTCCCTACCTTGTAACCTCCCCTTCAAATTCTGGTCTTCTGTGTGTCCTCCTACTTACCTATACTCAATGGGAGACAGAGGGTCCTGCTATACTACAAAACTCTTGCACTCTCTTCCAAAGAACATAAGCAAACCATTTTCTCTAAACTCATTCAAATTGAATCTAGAAAAGGAAATTCTTTGCAAAGTGAGGTGCAATCTCACCTTTGACATTGGTCATTTTACAATTATTCCCCACTGAAGACATTTTAGCATTGCTTATGTTGTGAGTTGTAATTTTGATTGACTCTTTGTCCCACTAACACTGGTCACCAGGAAAATGAAAGTGAAACATCCACAGAAAGCAATAAGCTTACCTAACCCTGAACATATAATCGTTAAGGCCATCAACTGGGATGGATTTTTTTTTTTCCTGGCCAATAGGCATGGCCAACAACCCAAAAAAGAAGCCATCTCAGTACTCTTCCCTAACCACACATACTTACCCAATATATTAGCATTTGTGTAACAGATAGATCAAAAGGCCAGACTGCTCAATTACACGTCATGTGAAAGCTGTAGATATGATTTAAAATAAAGTATACAGTATATGACGAGCAGAGAAGTAAAGAACTTTACTGTAAACGTTTCACTGTATGATCACTGTATTGTATGCTTTATTTTCCAGGCCTTATAATTCACATTAGAATGCACTTTGGATCATTCCTTGTTGCCCACTGAGGACATTGCGTCTATTCTTGCACATGTGCAATTTGAGATCGGAGGAGGCTTGTTTTTGTTCAAGAACAAGCCACCCCAGATATTGTATGGCGAATGCACAAGATCAGGTTAGATTTCCCTGGAAGGCACAGGCCACCAGTGTCTTAGGGAAACCAGGAAAACCTCAAATAAAACGTAAACTTACCAAAAATTATTTGAGTGTACAATTGACTTTTACAACATTTATGAATGGGCATGCAGTGCTACATGCACCATGTTATTTTGTGCAGTGACAGCCTTGGACCCACTAGCTAAATTTATGAGCACCAAATGTAATTTAATAGAAAAGGTTAAAGTACTGCAAGTCGCACATCTTGACAAAACCCCATAAAAGTGGTATGACCGTCCACATAGAGAGTTTAGTCATGGGGGTGTGGCCTGGTTGGAGTCTGGGCTGTCATACACTTTCTTACAGGGTTTTGCAGAGAAGTGCAACTTCCAGGACTTTTCCCTTTTCGATTAGATGTCTAGAGCTGGGACGAGCTCCGTCCTTGTCTGCAGTTGCTACATAAGAGGACCCCGTGGAACCTTGAATAGCACCTGCCAATTTAGTTCGGGTGACCAGATATAATTCTTAACATTTAAATCAAACAACATTTTTATATACTGAAGCTTACCGTTCCTTAGATGTGGTGGTTACATTAGTTTTATTTTTTTCAGTACAAGTACACTTTCCGCAAGCATACAAAAATACCTCTTTGATCTGGCCAGAAATCCAGTTTCCGTGTACCCCAATGTGCAGTAAACTAAAATCTCAATGTTATCAGCCTTACCAACTATTTTATGTAAACTACAAACCCCTCGCCCTATGTAATGAAGATGAGGAAAGGAGAGGCGTTTGTAGTTGAAATCAGAGCAGCAGCCTCAGATGACAATGCTGCGCCTCTACACATACAGTACAGTGTTGTCACCCTAGGACAAAAAGTGGTTTACCAGCAGGATTATCAGCTAACTTATGAAGTAAAAAAGAAAGCTTTGGGGAAAAAAAAAAAAAACTAATGAAGTCCCACAACTATGAACTATTAAGCTTGAAAGGCACATTTCTATTTTTAGGTTTAGACACTTCAAAACACAAATATGAAAGGGCTCTGATAAGCTTTTGGCAAGTATTTATATTACTTTTAGTAGATTCCACTATGAAAAATGAGTAGCAACTACAAATTTCCATCTCCTTTGTATTCAGCTAGCCACAGCTCACACAGGTATTTGCATTGCAAACAACTTAAAATAGGTTTCTCTTCTGTTCATTTTAGGACACAGCATTCATTTTTTGGACAGTAATAGCCAAACAGTGCAGGAATTCATACATGAATTTGTATTGGCTAAAAGCAAAGTCCTGCACAACCAAAAATGTGGCCAAATACTGAATGACAAAGTAATAAATAGCTTTAAATCTAAAAAGGAAGCAAATATAATTTACACATTTATTAAAGTTCAAGGTTAAAAAGAAAATATTTGTGACAAGACCATGATCACCCGTTTACTTTACCACACAAACTAAAGGCAGGCATAGAATCTGTGTTAGAAATACTTAGATACTTTGCCTGCTGCAGGAATGCAAATTCAATCAGACATTCTACAGCAAAATCAAAACTGCAGGGAGTAGTCAAAACCTTCCAGGCATCACTGTCCCCACCCTAACATTTATTATATTGCAGCTTACCAATTCTTAAAATGTGACAAACGTTTGCTGTACCTGCTTATGTTAGCTGGCACTTGGCTTCAATTTGTTTGTATTTAAATCTGCTAGTACATCTGACACTCCCCTCCACTAAGACTGAATTGCTGCTATCCAAAGGTGCTCCCATGCTGCTTCGTCCATAATGGGGGCACTCTAATACATAAGGTGTGTTACCAGACAGATCACCAGGTGAAAACAGAAGGCAATTAAATGATAAGGATTGGTAAGCTGCAATATATTACATTCTTGGTTTTGGGTTTAATGCCACTGCATAGTAAGTATAGTATGCAGCAGCTTTTAGAGATTTTGTTTTCTTTTTTCTTTTTAAGAGTTTTGTTTATGTTGTTGAAACATACTGGTGCCCGAAGGCTCTCAATCTCACAGTTCTGGAGGTACCCAGTTGTAGTATTACTACAAAGAGATATCTATAAGTCACATCACTGCAACAGGCACGGACTTTGCATGTACCAACTCACTACCTGCCTTTAGTTAGCTGAATATCAGGTGAGGACAGGGTCTCTTTAAGTTTAAACTGTGCAGGGCTTACAGGATGTTTTGTTGTTGGTTATTTCATTACTCATCTGAACTATAGATAAATTTAACAGTTAAATGTGTATGTCCAGCCAAAACCATTATTTTACTTGAGGATAAGTTAAAGTCAGGTTTTTACTGCTATGCTGGGCTCCATTGGAAAAATGTAACCTCACTTCCTGTCCAGCTGACATTTTGCTAGGCAGGAAATAGGGGTCATTCTACTGAAGGAAAGCATTTTTATTTTTGTGTTCCTGTTGGAGTAGAAGGATAAAACCCATCAGATTTTTTATTTATGTCTGTGCCCCTGTTGAAAATGTCATACTTCCTGTCTGGTGAAACTGCTGTCATCAAGACAGGAAGGGAGAGTAAATCTAGGTGCAACAGATAGCAGCACATGTACAGTCTGTGCATGTAGCAGGAAAAGGCCAGGTAGGTGAAAAAATTAAAACTATACTATATGGAAAAACAATTTAGAAACTGTTAGCACCTGGTACACAGCAAACTAAAAAGGCAGGCAGTGAGAACAGCATTACCCAATATGCTTCTCTTTAGTGTAATATGGGAAGGCTAAAACCAGTCAGAATTTTATTTGTCTGTGTACATAGCTTCCCTCACTTTTTTTTCCTCTAGCAACGCCATTGTGAGCAGGACGGAAAGTGAGGGTAAAGCACACACTAAGCCCTGGATAGCAGTAAAAACCCCATCAGGAGTTCTAATCTTTTCAAACTTTATCCATAACTATAATTCAAGGTTTGACTTGACATACACTTTAAGGTTTGCCTATTCTGTTTTGGGGACCACTAAGCTTTTTGCATTAGGCTCCAAGTCCACTGCATCCATTAAGATAACTGCTTCAAAATGCATTCACTATGTGACAGTGTTAAATTACAATCAAGAGTTAAAATGAAGGGACCTTTTGAGATAAAAGTAACATCGTACATAAAATAAGAATGCCAATTAAAAGGTAAAATTAATTTGACATTAGCAAATATAATGCACCACTTTTTAGACTTAGGATGATCGCTTCCATAAAATATATAAGTAGACATTTATTTCTGTAAAAACGAATGAAATTCTGCAGAGTCTGAGGCATAAAACCCCTGGTGGGGGCTAGCTGCTCCATGGTCCTTGCATTCTCTCCCATGCCCTTTGTCTGTGATCAGGTGTCAAGCAATGTCCAATAACAAATTCTGTTTCCTTTATACGACGCTGAAAACGGCAGTGGTCCCGGGCAAGCTCCTCCCAGTGACCTTTCCGTTCTTCTTCACCGCACACATAGTGAATGGTGACTTTTTCATGGAAGGTAACCTATAAAAAAAAAAATATACATGATGAAAGACGTAGAGAAAACCAAAGTAACCTATTCAGTAGGAGCTAAGATTACCGTTTCAATGCAGTAGATTAAGGATCCCCTGCACAAGGTCTTGTGCAGAAGATTCACCCCTTTGACAGCTACCAGACATCTCTTTGCAAAGTGCTACATCTGGCTGACTGATGCTGCTTGTTAGTGGGACTAGAGCTGTAAGAGTGGTTCCTGATCATGTGATCACAATGTCAGCTAATACAGTGATCCTAGGTACGCTTGAAGAAATAAAATAAACAAATAAATGGTTCCAGCTTGCAGAGGCAACTGGAGCCTGTAGATTGCTCCTGTTTAAAATAGATGTGTGAGCTAATCTAAGAAACATATTCAGCAAAGCTTTTCAATACATGCATATTCCCATGTTACATCTGTTTAAAAACACTGCAAGTGCTAAAAAATAACTGATAATTCTTCTTGAAATGCAGTCAAATTCTAACTTGAAGTTGTGGAATAATGCAAGGTAATGTACATGTATAGGACAGCTGCAAGGATTTTTTTTTTTTTTTTTCCCCACACACACTTTATTACTGTAATTGTCTGATAAAATTACAGTTTTAGGAACAAAACGCCATGCAAGTAAATACATTGTTATAGCAGTAACTAGTTTACTAAGAAACAGCATGTGTGAGGGTTTACATACACATTAACCACTTTCCCTCCTGAGGATTTACCCCCCTTCCTGACCAGGCCATTATTTGCGTTACAGCACTGCATTAATTTAACTGACAATTGCGCAGTCATACAATGCTGCACCCAAATAAAATTTACATCCATTTTTCCCCACAAATTGAGATTTCTTTCGGTGGTATGTGATCACCTGTGCGTTTTTTATTGTTTGCACTATAAAAAAAAAAAAAAGACCGACAATTTTGAGGGGAAAAAAAACTATATTTTTGACATTTTGCTATTAAACATGTCCAGTAAAAAAAAAAAAAAAAAAAAAAATCAAATTTAGGGCAAAATGTATTTTGCTACATGTCTTTGCTAGGAAAAAAAAAAAAAAAAAAAATCACAATATGTGTAAATTTATTAGTTTACGTGAACGTTATAACATTTACAAAATGGTGGTATATATACTGGGATTTTTATTTTTACTAGTAATGGTGGCAATCAGCGACTTATAGTGGGACTGCGGCGGGCATTCTGACACTGGGGGAACTGACTTTGTGTCACTGACATCCCCAGTAACACCAAGTCAGTTCCCCCAGTGCTTTAATAAAAAAAAAAAAAAAAAAAAAAAAAAAAAAAAAAAAAAAAGCACTGACTGTACTAATAGCACTGGGCACGAAGGGGTTAACATGAGGGGCAATCAAAGGGTTAACTGTGTGCTGGTTTACATAGAGCTGTGTCCTTCACTGTAAGCACACTGATTTTCATGGCTATGCTGTGTACAGCCATCCAAAGCAGTGTGCACAAGCTGACAGGGAGAACGGGAGAACTGTTTTGTTTACAAACAGTTCTCCCGGTTGAAGATGCTCGGCAATCACCGGGCACCGGCAAGTAATCATCGGCCGGTACCCGGTGATTGACAGCAGCAGCCGCCGCGAATGGCGGCGCAGGTAGGGCACGCGTGCCCCCTACCCGAAGATGCAAAGTCACAGATATATACGTGATTTTGCGCACCCATGATGCCCTGTAGCAGTATATCTGCTATAGGGCGGTCGGGAAGCTGTTAAACAAAAAACTAAAGTAAACAAAATAGCAAATTTTATGATTTGTGTATAAAATTGTAACAGCAGTCAATTGCATAAAATGACTCACTAGTACCAGTGAGTTTTGTCCAAGATTTATGAACATACCTTTCAATTTGCCTTCACATAACCACACACCATGATAAAAAGGGCACTGTTGTGACTATAGATTTCCAATGGCACTTTATAACAGTAGTGTGAATAGTCAAACAAAATGTCACAAACATTTAAAAGAAAAGCGCATAGGAATTATGCCAAGTAGTTGCAGTAACAAAATGATTACAGTGGTTGTAAAAGTTTGTCGTTTTTTTTTTTTTTAAATTAAAATGCTTCTAAGCGCAAAGGGTTTTTTTTTTTTTTATTACATTAAATGTATTCTCTGCATTAAAATGAAAAATAAATAAAAAACTTACTGAGGGGGCACTCTGAGAAGAGGAGGTGTGGAGAGAATGCATTGAGGTATAAAAACATTTTATGTTTATAACCACTTTAAGTGCCCCTGTCAGCTGCTACTTGCATTTTTCCAGTATTGTGTACTGTCCTCCAAATATCCCATTGAAAACATTTTACTTCAGGGCTGTGTGCTTAAGTACCAGCTAAATTATCTGAGTCATTGTGTTTAAAAATGCAGAGTCACGCTAGTTCAAACATCGCCATATCTCTGAAGTGCATACAATGCTGACAAATAGCTGCTTCCACGTTGCCATTACCTTGATTTCCCTGTCCATTAAAGCACAATATATTGATTCTTTATAAAAAAAATGTTCTCCTTTGCAGGAGTCTGAAACTTTTACTGAAATGAAGTAACCAGATACTTTTAACTTTTTACTAATGTTTGGAAAAGAAACTATTTGAGAAAACCAATATTTACAGAACATTTGAAGTATCATAAAGTATGATGAAGTATTAAAGCATCATAAAATCCTCTTGGAATTAAAGAGGAAACTGTATCTGAGCACCGCAAACCAGAAACATTTAAAAAAACCTCCAAAACACACAGCAACACACATTTAGAATACTTCCCAGAGTGGATGCAGCATCGATCTGATGCTGCATTCATCCCCCGCTGGCTCTGCCCCGCTCCGTTCTCCCCTTTGCTCTGAGTAGAGATATGTGACTGTCAACACATTTTGCATATGTGCCTTAACAAGTGGGAGGCACATATGCAAACTGTTGTAATTCCTACACCGTTCACCTGATTTGGATGTAAATACCCTCAAATTAAAGCTGACAGTCTGCAGTTAAAGCACATCTTGTTAGTTTCATTTCAAATCCATTGGTGTGGTGTATAGAGCCAAAAATGTTAGAATTGTGTCGATGTCCCAATATTTATGGACCTGACTGTATATGAAAAAGTGCTCTCTCCACCACTGTCAAGGGTTGCACCTACCAGACCTATATGTCTATCTAGGTACAGATTAGGCAAACAAGGCTTAAGTCAGGTACTTAGGCTGCTATCCACTCACATGGATACATAAAAGAGCATAGGAGAACTCCAATGGTGCTATAACTTTGTATAATTTTTTTTAAAGTGGTAGTAAACTCCTTTTGTATGCCTTTACCTACAGGCACATCAGAACAAGATTTCCTGTGTAGAGTATATGTGGCAGCAGGATGCAGCAATCAGCCTGCCAGCCAACAGTTCAAATCCTCAGACTGCTCACAACCCTTCCATTGCTCAGGAGGCACAGGTCCAAAGTTCTTCCCAGCATCAGGCTCCACTGCCAACATTTTGTCTGTAAAATACTTTTTCAAGGGAGATGACAGGTGCTGGAAGGGCTACTTCTAATATACCCGTACCCAATCCCTGTCGGGATGGAGTCTTCAAATGGCATACATGAAAACATTCTAATACTAGTTATACACTAGACGGAAAAATCTTTCAAACGCATTTCGGAAAAAAAGAACACACAGTCGTGACAGCAAACGATATTGCCATCATGCAATGACCAATTTTCAAACAATAAATTGTTCAATAGACATACACACACTGGCCATTTTATTTGGTACACCTTGCTAGTACTGAGTTGAACCCCATTTTACCTTCAGAACTGCCTTAATTCTTTGTGGCATTGATTCAACAAGGTGTTGGAAACATTCCTCAGAGATTTTGGGCCATACTGGCACGATAGCATCATGCAGTTGCTGTAGATTTGTTGGCTGCACATCCATGATGCGAATCTCCCATTCCACCGCATCCCAAATGTGTTCTATTGGATTGAGATCTGGTGACTGTGGAGGCCACTGGAGTACAGTTAACTCATTGTCATGTTCAAGAAAACAGTTTGCGATAATTTGAGTCTTTGACATGGTGCATTATCCTACAGGAAGCAGCCATCAGAAGATAGGTACACTGAAATCATAAAGGCATGGACATGGTCAGCAACAATACTCAGGTAGGCTGTGATGTTTAAACGAGGCTCAACTGGTACTAAGGGGCCCAAAATGTGCCAAGAAAATAACCCCCACACCATTACACCACCAGCCTGAATAGTTGATGCAAGCATGGATCCATCCTGCCTTGTATGTTGTTTACATCAAATTCTGATCCCACCATCCGAATGCCACAGCTGAAATTGAGATTCATCAGACCAGGCAATGTTTCTCCAATCATCCATTGTCCAGTTTTAGTGAGCCTGTGCGAATTGTAGCCTCCATTTCCTGATCTTAGCTGACAGGAGTAGCACCCGGGGTGGTCTTCTGCTGCTGTAGCCCATCTGCTTTAAGGGTCGACATGTTGTGCGCTCAGAGATGGTATTCTGCATACCTTGGTTGTAACGAATGGTCATTTGAATTACTGTTGCCTATCATCTCAAACCAGTCTGCCCATTCTCCTCTGACATCAACAAGGCATTTTCGTGCACACAACTGATGCTCACTGGAGGTTTTTTTTTTTTTTTTGGACCATTCTCTGTAAACTCTAGAGATGGCAGTAGATCAGCAGTTTCTGAAACTCAGACCAGCCTGTCTGGCACCAACAACCATGCCCTATTCAAAGTCACTTAAATCCCCTCTTTCCCATTCGGATGCTCAGTTTGAACTTCAGCAACTTCGTCTTCACCACGTTTAGATGCCTAAATCCATGGAGTTGCTGCCATGTGATTGGCTGATTTGCAATATGTGTTACCAAGCAATTAAACAGGTGTACCTAATAAAGAGGCCTGTGAATGTATATAAAACGTTTTTTGTTTTTTAAACATATCCGCAATACAAATAGTCTGATTTTTAAGTGAGAAACACATTAACCATTCAAT